TTTAGTAGGATTTTGTCCATTTCGTCCATGCCTATAAGGATATCAACCGGACCAGGTTTGGCGAAACTTGGGTCAGCCAGCGATAAATCCAGAATGTGTGGCCACGGTGATGTCGGTACAGCGGTGGATGGAAGATCATTAGTAATTTTGGGTAACACGAATGTACTCACTTGGAAGTTTGCGCCTAATGATCGCGGTGATATGCGTAGGGTTACTTCTCCCTTTGTACGGCCACCTTGGGTAGCCCCTATACCTGTGACGTAAGCGGATGAAGATCGTCTGGGAAGTCGAAGTCGTTGAGCGCAGGCCTCAGTTATGAATGAGGCGTGCGAGCCGTTATCGAGGAGGGCGCGAGCTGGTTGCCAACGACCAGCGTCGTCTTGTACTAAGACTGCGGCGGTTGCCAACAAAGTGACACGATCAGCATCAGCGTAATGTGACGTGACACTAACGTGCTGGCTTGTTGCGTTCGTAGCGGTTGATTCCTGTTGGTTGTTGAAACTTGCGTGCAACAGCGTGTGATGGCGTTGCCGACACATGCGGCACAATGATGAACTGCGACATTTCGCAAGAAAGTGCCCTTTGCTAAGGCAGTTTAGGCAAGCACCTTGAGATTTGATGGCAGAAAGTTTACTATTTGCGTCGAGTCGGCTAAACTTTGAGCAAACGTATATTTTGTGGTCGCCACTGCAATAAGCGCAAGCAGACGCCTTGCCGACGTCGCATGCTTCTCCTTGGCTACATGTTGTGTGTAGAACATTCTTCGCAACTACCTTCGTGTTGGCAGGCGCAAGCGGTAGCATCTCCAAAGAGCGTGCACGAGTTTCTAGAAATTCACGAAGAGCGTTAAACGACGGTAACTCGTCAGCCACAAGCGACAATTCCCATTGTTTGCGGGTTTCGTATGCTAATTTGGATACAGTTAGGTGGATGAGCCAGTCATCCCAGAACTCGGTTGGTCGACCAAGCGCGCGTAGCGCACCGATGTGCTGCAATGTAGCATTAAGTACGTGCTTGATTGCCTTAGCGGAGTCTTTGCTCGCCTTTTCTATAGATGACAGAGCCCGTATGTGACTGTCCACCATGACTCGTATGACCTTGTACCTTGAGGTCAACAAGTCCCATGCCTCACGATAATTACTGTCACACACTGACAAACTACTCACCAAATTAAGTGCTTCACCTTTCAAGCAGTTACGCAGATACTGCAGTTTTTGCCCATCCGACAGGGTTGCGTTCGCGTTAACCAACGAACAAAATGAGTCGTGGAAGGATAACCATTTCTTAGGATCACCACAAAACGAGGGCAACTGCATCTTTGGCAGCGACGTGGATGCATGTGCAACCGGAACAGGATTATGCGGTGGTGGTTGTATGTGCGATGACATAAGCCGTTTAAAGTTGGCCTTAGCAGTTATGTACCACTCCTCGCATTGTATGCGCGATTGTTCCTCCATAGGAGCGTTCTCGTCGCCACATGACAGCTCCACTTCTTGTTGAGCTTCGCAAAAACGAACCCACTGCTCTTCCAATAATTGTAGATGCGTGGAAAGCACTTCGACGTCCACCGAAAGCACATCTGCTTTACTCGACTGCAAATGTCGCTTAATGGAGTTTAAGGCGGAATCGCGGATTTTGAGCGAAGACATTTGCGTGTAAGGGCAACG